ATTTCATACGCAAATTCATATTCTGTGCTTCCAAACATCAAGCACTCGCTTGGCCAAAGGTGTCTGACTCCTGGGGACGTAGCCTTGAGTGCTATGTTAGTCTGAGCTGCTTGTTCCAAACTTTCAGTGCTGTATTTGAGGAAAAATCAGTTTGGCCAGGCCAGGCTGGGCTGGATGCAGCTGTACTCTTGCGGGTGGTGGTGCTCCTTGCCCAGGGACCCCAGAGGCAAACAGCGACTGACTGATGCTAGCAGCAGCCTGCCCTAAGCAGACGAGCTGGACGCACAGGTTACACCGGCGCGTCGTGGATGGGGCAAGTGCTTTTCGCTGTCCCGTGGGGGAGACGAGAGGCGCGGGGGGCACTGCCTTGCACAAACTGTTTTAGCCCAGAAGTTGCTGACTGCAACACTCGGTACTGTAGAAAATAGTTAATGTGTCTAGGAAAAGCTCGGCGTGGTTAGGTACGTACGACCCGACTGTGGGGCCAGCAACAAGGTTTTTCTCCTAGCGCTGCTTGTTGTCGTGCCCTTGGCGCCGCTGCTGCAGCAGTGTGAGGAGCTGCCGCCCTCCTGGGTCTCTGCGCCGGCCTCCCTGCAGTCGGCAAGTGCTGCGCTGCTTGGGGGTCACCTTCATCCAAACGCCTGCCGGCAGGCACCCCTGGTCCCCCCATTTCCTCACCCAGGTCCTCCAGCGGCAGCTTTTGGGGTGGGTTGTTGAATACCGCCTTTCTGTCCAGGCAAGCGAAGTAGCCTTAGATATCTCCAAGTGGCTCAGGGAGGTGGTGTTGAACAGGGTCCGGTTTGGGGATGAGCCCGTGGAAGGAGGTAGCACCAGAGGAGATGCAGAAATGACTGGTGCCATTAAATATAAAGAGCATATAAAGAGAAGGAGAAATCTAGGCTGTGACCAATGAAGTTATTTGTTATGCAGGGTATCGCATGTGAAAAGTACATACAGTAGGTCTATGCGAGGGTGGACATTTTCACCTCTCCCATTTTCTGTGAATGATTTAGAATGGATTCCAACCAGGAAAATATAATTAAAGGAGCCTCTAATGACTTGCTGCTCCTAAGTTTGCATTGCTTATTAAAAAAAAAAAAAACAAAAGTAATCTACGCTGGAATTATACACCCAGCAGGCATGACTCTATATTATGGTACATACTACTCTTTTTGTAATTGTCACATCAGTAAACCGTATTTTTAAAGCATTACCCCAGACATGCTAGATTTAAACCTCAGAGGCTATGTTAGTGGAAATATTGGAACAGGAGTTTTTGGCCTTCTGTATCCCCAGTCACGAGACAGTTTGGGGTGGAGGAAGAGCAGATCTTGGAGGGGAAGGAAAGAGAGAAAGGATGTGGAGAAAGCGGTTTTGCTCTGGATAAGCCTCTGCATCCTGCATCACAATCTTGTTTTTATTTGCCTCAATTTTCCTTAGCTCCTGACTGGCCTGGGCATATTTTTGCCCAGGAAAATCTCAGGATGATTGGAGAGATTTCAGCTGCGATTTGTACAGCTCACAGGCCCTGAGGGTTTCTGGCTGTGCAGGCTGTAGGCAATGAAATATCTCCTTCACAGGAATCGCTGGAATTTAACAAGCCTAGAAAAATTCTGCCCTTTTCCAGTCAAGGACTTGTAGCAGATTAATACCTTCTCAGGCTTCTTGATTAAGTTGGGTTTCAACCAGTACAATATCAAGCCTCAGAAATGATTATTCCTACTCTCCCTTTCAGCTTAGTGGATCTTGTACATTTTTCAAAAATAAAATAAAAAGAGAGAAATTAATCAACTATTAAGTACTTATCGTAGTAATTCTTTGCTGACAATGTACAGGCAAAATAACTGAACAGGTTATGCATAGATGTGCAGTTCAGATACACCACCCTACTAAAAGATTGTGCCGTGTCATAATACAGCATTTTTCTTCTTTTATTTCTCAGAAAAGTTTTCTTCCTTGGACAAGGCAGTTTCCTAAAGGCTCTTGAGAGTGACCCTGAACTCACCTGGAAAAAGGTAAAGCTTATGTATGACTGAAAGACACAGACTTTGGGCATGTATAATAAGCACAGGAGGGGAGCAGCAGAAGATGGAGATGGAGAAGCAGAACAGGCTGGACAAGACAGCACAGGGAAGAAGCAAAATCTCCTGCAGCAAAAAGAGCTTTGCGCGTTATCGGCCATAATGGACCCTAGCCCGTGGATCCTTGAGCAGATACAGATCCACCACCTCGTGATCCTACAGCAACTGGAGCCTCCGAACAATTTCAAGGCGGGTGCAAACCACTCTGGCGCGCCAGACGGCCAGTTCAGGTGCAGTTCACTCTAACTCTGTGCACCCAAAGGGAAAGGGAAGCCATGTACCTCTGATATCCAGTTCCACAACCAATCAGATTTGCATATTTCTTGGTGATTCATTTTTGTATTTGTTCGCCCCTTTTTACATTGTTTTGTTTTGTTACTAAGCTTACTTATTTGCAGGCAGCTGGGATACCTGCAACAACATCTGTACAACAAATTAAAGCACTGTTTTTTTTTAGTTTATTTATTTCTAAAGTAAGCTTGTGTGTAAGATTTTGGGATAGAAGAAACTACATCCAAAGCCTCTGTAAGTATCAAACTCACTTAAAATCCCCCCAAAAAACAATCACAAGAGCACTCTTTATATGGCTTCATGCTCCCATCGCTGCATCACGTTTTTTCTTGCAAGTCACTGTGTGTGATGCCCAAGGCATCTCCGATTTATCTAGCTCGCCTGTGCTCAGCCACAGCGACAGCAGATGCACTTTCTTCTATCATGGGCCATGTTATCATGAGCCACTGCAAAAGAAAATAAACAAGTGTTCATCCAAATAAAAGTGGGTAGACATATCTTATTGATAGCCATGTTATTTGGAAGAATAAAATGCTTACAAGTCTGTTTTTGAAATTAATAGAAATTATTCAAAATCTTGCCTAAAAATAACTTTTGGTATGCGCAGATAAATGTCAAACATTCTTAGCATCCAAGGACTGTGCTTCTTTCCAGGACATCCGATATAAGAGTAAGATGCCCCCAAGGGGCACTAGAATTGATCAACTTTGCTGATACGTACACGTCGTTATTTAGTTAACCAAGCTTTGCAAAATAACGACGTGTATGTATCAGCAAAGTTGATCAATTCTAGTGCCCTTTGGGGGAAACAATCCAATCTTGGCCACTTGCAGCTTGTGTTGAAGGCAATGGGATCAAAACAGACATCTCGGAGACGAGCAGGCTCTGGTGGAGCAAGGTGTAGAGCAGAGGTTAAGGTAGGTGATCTACATCGCTCTGTGGAGGACCCTGTCTTTCCCCTTTGACTATGGGCAGAACGGAGAGCGCCTGATCAAATAAATAAATTAGGTGCCAAAAGGTGAGTGTTGCGGCCCCACACTGTGCTTTTCAGAAGAGGGCCAATAGCTTCTGTGTAGCGCTTTAGAGTAAATCTACGGCCCAGACTGTGGTAAGACGCTGCTGCAGCAAGCTGTTATTTTTTGTGTTTAATGTATGTTGATTGTATCAAATACAGGAAATTCATTCATCAGTAATTAGCAGCTTTACCTCAGGTGAGCAATAACCCGCAGTGAAGCTGCTGTAAAGCTGTGAAGACAAGATGATTGCAAGGAGCCTTCTAAAACTATCCATCTAGCATGTATATGCAGCGACAAGTTTGGTAAGAAAGGGGTGAATCCAGAGGAAGTTGTAGTGGGATGATCGTTCAGAACTTTTTAACTTTAAATCAGAAGTGTAGTATGACTGACAGAGCTAGGACAAACGAGTTCATAAATTAGAAACCAATCAGTGCAATATTTTTTGCAGTTATTAAATTTACTTTTACAGGATCCTCACATAATTAGTAATTAATACTTAACCTAGCATCTGTCAAGATGAGAACGGGTAGTTAAGATATCCTTTCATCTGCATTTGTGTGACATCCAGTGGCTGGATGGGTCAATCACAGGCATGCATTTCTTGCTAAAGGTGTAAAAATAGCTCACAGCGCTGTTTAGAACACAAAAGCAGTAAATACGCTGAATATTCATGCTAACAGAACAATTGCTTAATTTTGGCTTCAAAATAAACAGATGATTAAAGACGCTTATTCAAGGGAAGACTTTACAAATTTGGATGCATGTAACACATTGCACCCTTTAGAGCACTTTCTGAATTAAACTTGTCTCAGTATTCCTGCTAAAAAAGAGAAGTGAATAAACAATATATTGCCCAAGTCCGGAACCAGTAATTTCTGTTTTCCTGCATTTAACTGTTGACTGCACCATGAGTGTCAAAACTCATATTAATTTCATCGGGAGCGGTGCTGAGATAAGAGCTACATTTTCATTAAAATCTTTGAAAAATCAAAAATAGACACGTATCGTAAGACTGACTGTGCCATATAATAAAGAAGGCTGATATTAGACTTCCAATAAGTTTTCTAAATTGAAGGATCTAAAACTCCAGCCTTTGTTCCAAATAACTACTTGAAATTTTTGCCATTATCATAATTATCTGATATCAGCATTGCTCTGAACGTTGTAGGAGTCCTTATTCTTTTCCCGTCAGGAATGCAACGCACGTAATAAATGAGGAACTGTTTACTGCATAGGGGAACACAGCCATGTAAAAATCAGTTATCCTAGAGCATTCTTTACAAGCTGTTACTATAAATAGCATCTACTAATGCTAAAAATGAAAAAGGTGAGAACATAAAAGTTGCCGTGCTTTTTTTCAGCTTACTTTATAAAGTCCATAAACCTGCTTCATAAAAGCCGCCAATTACTTGTTTGTACAGGCTTTTTACACAGCAAAAGGAAAAATTCAATCTTCTATAAAAACATGATTTTAACCTCACAAAACTTGACAGACAGAGTGAGCATTGTGGGCCAGTGTCTGAAATGACTTTAAAATTGTGTTTTCAAATTGACTATATTTCAGGCTTTGTGCTTATTACTTGTGAACTACTGTGAGGATGTAGAAATACTATTTTTGCCAGTAAGTTTCATATTCAGATAAACGGAATACACACACACACACAAAGACCGTACAGGCCTGGGTACTGCGTACGAGGCAAATGTTACTAGCGGAGACAGGAAAACAGCAGCTGTGCACCATTCTTGGACACAAAGTCCTCAAGAGTCACGAGGTTAGCGCAGGATCTGTTTTTTCATGCCTGGTTTTGCTGACTGCAGTCACTCAGTCAACGATAATAATCAGAATAAAAGTCCTCTCCTAAAGTTAGACTAGTTTTTATGCTCATCTATGGCGAGGAAAAGCAAGTCAAATATGTCAGAGTTGTATCTAGAAGACAACAAAGATCAGATATACGAAAATGCCCTTGCTGAGATCCAGTCCTTTGAGCTGCCTCTGGGAACCACGCTAAGGTATGCATCGTTTAGATCATATTATATCGTTCATGATGGATTTGCTCCATTCTATAGCTGTTCTTGCAGTCAGCCCAATGTATTAGAAAGTTGATTATCTTGACACTGACATCTACAGGAAAGTTGTATTTGATTCCAATGCGATTGGCCCTAAATCAAAAAGTATAAACTGAAGACTCAACTCAACTCTTTCTTTTTATCAGGACAAAGCTGTTAGTGAAGGCGGGCTGCACGTTCTCTCTGAAGAAAGAAATTACATTTAAACATGAAAACAAGGGAAAAATCACTTTTGTGTAACAGAGTGCTTTTAGTTTGAGGTTGACAACTACATTTTTTAAGAATAATTAATTGCTTCTAATTTTTGTATTTTTACTGAATGCAACCTTCTCTCTAAAGGCACAGCTACTCGGAGTAAAGTTTAACTTAGGGATATCCCTAAATATCTGAAGATTTTAATATGATTTAATTTACAGCTTATGGAAATAGTTTAATGGTAGAAGCGCAACTGAAAAAAATCCTTTGGATATTCATCCCTACAGAAGTAACATATAAAAGATTATGATGTTATGAGCCTAAGTATATTGTTAGTATCTGTAGAAAAGATTTAAAAATAGCCTGCCTGGGATTGTAGGAATCGGGTTGCAGTGACTACCAGGCTAAAGAAAGTAAATTTAATTTACCCTGAAAAATGTATGCGTCAGTCTACTAAAGTAATTTGGTGACGCAAAAAAAAAAAAAAAAAAAAGAAGAAAAAAAAGGACGTGGGAAAATTGTTACTGCAGTTGAGTGATTTCTTGAAGGAAACACTACTGCAGAGAGAGCCTGTAGGATTTTTCCTATTTTCTTTCTGCAGTACACACTTTGTAGGCACTTGTCTACATTTGGAATACTCCCTGCTGTTTCAGTAGGTGCCATCAATAAATTCAGCTGAATCAACAGCAAATATGATAAAACTACAAGCACAGACAAGATGTACCTAGTCTTAAGCGCCATTTATTAACTTAGCGTCCAAGCGTAGCTGCACCAGGGCAGGAGATACGGTAAGTTTGGTTGCAATAACTGGAAGGATGCTAAACGTTATTGTAGCTCGCTGCTGTCTAGACCTACGTGCATATATAGCTGTAAACTTCTGTCAGTTTTTCTTGGGAAAAGTAGCCAGACACCACTCTGAAGTTTCATGCTAAAGGCCTATCTCTTTACGCTGGCTTCCCAGTTGTGCACAGCTAACTTTGCCCTGAAAGCAGGTGTATCCTGTCTCCTGAACATGCAAAACCCAAGGACTAGCTCATCTTAAGCCACAAACCACAAAGTGTATAATTTAAATAGAAAACGAGTTATTCCTTCTTCATTGAAAAATGGAACCCCATTGTGCACGCGCGCAAGGACAGCCGAAGACAAGCTACAGCAATGCAGGAAACAATATGCAAGTTTCTAGTGAACCGGATAAGCTGGGGAAGCAACGCAGGGCGATGCTTACGCAAAACGGTGCGCTCCCGCAGCACGGCTTACCTGCGCCCCAGCCCCCCCAGTCCTGTCTGCCGAAGACAGAGAAGAGGAAACT